GAGGTCGAGAGCTACATGGATTACCAGGCCAACAAGTTCGCTCGATTGTACGATCCCAACTGCTACCTGCTGCTGTCAAAGGCCATGGATCTGGCCAACCTGGGTCGCAATGCGCTCAATCTCGCCGAGGGCACTAGCCGCATCTCGTGCGACACTCTGATCATCGGCATTAAGCAGGACCTTTTGATCCCGATCCAGGAACAGCGCAATCTGGTGAACATCTTGCAGTCGTATGGCCACAGTGCTCAGTTAATGGAGGTGGATTCCAAGTTCGGCCACGACGCCATGTTCAACGGCCAAATGCAGCGCGACGTCTTCTCTCCACTGGTACGCGAGTACGTTGAAGAACAGCTCGCCAACATCCTGCCGCACGAGCAACACCGCTACAGCAGTCTGTAATTGTTATTCGTGTGCTGAGTAAATGCAATAAACGTCCATGTATTTCATTTTTAGTGAAGCGCTAGATATTGACTTCTTATTGACAAGTTGTCAACAGTAAAAAAGTACAATGAACGTAAATACTGAACGATGTTGAAGTGGTGTATTGCAAGTACATATACTGGTAAGCCAAGCGAACACGTACTCCGCTTATGTCTATAGCACGTGCTGCAAGTGTGCAAATTGGATCAAACTTTGAAACGCTTTCGTCTTGCCGGCCCGAAAACTTCTGTTCATTTTTTCGATCTCTGTTGGCCAACTCCTCAAATTGTGCCCCATCCTGCTATAAAGCCCCTGGGGCATTAAATGGAGTATCCCTGGGGCACTGTTATTCAACCACGAGTGATGCAGTCTCATCATCAAGTGAACAAAATTCACCGTCGGTGTGCAGTCCACATATTGGCGGTTTCTCCGTTACGGAGCCGCACCATCATTAGTGGAGACTTATAGCTCCACTACCAAACCTTGCGGATGCCGCAGCGATGCCTCTCTACGCAGCGGTCTCGCCGACGTTTGCCGCAGGAGGGATCGCTGGACGAGCTGGTGAACTCGACGTTCTATGCTGAGTCCATGATCAAAGGCACTGGAACGGGCGTCACCAAGCACGCGACGACCCTCGGCCGCTTCGAAAAGGTCTTCGTCCTCATGGTAGACCCCAATCGGAGCGTCGCTCTACAGTTTCTTCATTGCATTTGCAGCCTTCACCAGTTGCTTCATCCTATTCCTACAAACGCTGGACGGTCCGAACCACCATAGATCTGAGCCTGAGTACCCGAAACTTCCCAACGAGAGCGGCTACTATGACGCAGATCTGGTCTTTACCATCATTTTCACCCCGGAACTACTCGTTCGACTCGTCAATTGGCCATCTTTGTGGCGCGAACATGAATACCTCACCGAGCGACGTCTGAAGCCATTTCTGCGCGACTTTTTCAACTGGTTCGATGTCGCTGCCATCGTCCCATTCTACATCGACCTCATCTTCGGTAAGGAGAAGAGCTTCGTCATCATGCGACTATGCCGACTGCTTCGTATCTTCAAATTGGCACACAATCACTCCGGAACATAAATTCTGCTGCGAGCTATCCGCGCCAGTGTCGCCCCCATTTCCGTGGCTCTGATTTTCTTCACAGAAATTGTGCTCTTCTTCTCTGTTGTCATGTACATGGTGGATCCGAGTTACGACCGCAATAAACCAGGTTTCTCGGATCTACTAACCACGGGCTACTTTGTAGTGGTCACTGTGGCCACCGTCGGATACGGAGACATCACCTCGACGAAAGGCAACGTGGCAAGCCTCCGTGTCGCTGTCATGACTATCTTGTCTGGTACGCTCTTCTTGTCCATGCCTCTCGCTATTCGGAACAGAGTTCGATCGCGCTTGGAAGCAGCATGCAGAGAGAGTCAAGAAGTTCCAGCAACTTCAAGCAGGGTGCCTGTGGCGAGGGACTATAATGTCGTGGCTGCTTTCGCTGACGAGACGATAGCTGTCTGGTCCCTGAACTGTTAGGCTGGCGATTGGCTGGTGTTTGGGCTGGTGTCGATGGCGTCATCTGGCCAGATCTGCTGGGGGCACGACCACCACTAGTATGCAGCTCCGACACAACGTTTAATCGCTCGTGGATGACATCAGGACTTTGAAGGTGATGGTCACGCTTGCGAGGGGCATGGGAAGACATTGGTTTGTGATTAGCACGTCGACGTTCGTCCATTTTTCTGATAGCGAATTGCAGACTGACGCACTATATAAATCGACGAAGTTTTGCTTAGTAAACAGAGTTTACAGTTTGTTTGCAAACTTTTCTCTGAGTTAAGGTTTTTAAAGTTTAAATTTTATGTTGAGCTGTTAGCGAGTTCAGAGTCTAAACTTTAGACCCCTAAACGCTAACAGCTTTAGCCAATTACATAAAATTTCCGACCTCCGATAAAAGTGGTTCTTCATTCGACGGTATCTCTATATTGAAAATATACTACAGTACTGCACCCCGTTTTCGCGCCTTTCAGGATCCTCGCCCTCGGAGTCAATGTTGGCGTTTGCGGGGCTGGTTTGAAGCACGCGCCTTGAATCATGCTGCTGAGGTGATCTACGCCTCTCGTCAAATATCCCGTCGACTCCAGATGGAAAGGTTGGATCGGGACGTTCCTGCAGCATTCGCTCACTGTCATGAAGCGGAACTTGTACTATAGTTTCCGTAACGTCTCCCGCAATGGCCTCGCAGCCATTTCGAATCCTTCTTCAACCGGTCAGTGCCGGTGATTCCATTACGCAGCGACGCATACTTCCGCGCGTGGCCATTTTTACTGCGTTCTGCAAAACATCAGACAGCTTCGTGGGTAAGCATCGCTAACTGAGACCGCCGCAGGCGAGCGTAAATTGCAGAATGAGAATATCTTCAATCTAAAGAGGATGACGATAAGATTCAGAGACATTAACTTGTACATGTAAGACGCCGGCCGGTAATTCATCAGGTCTGAGGAATTATAAGCCTTGTTTTAGATTGTTTCAAAGTCTTGTCCACAATAGAGGTTGTAGTAAATCCCGGGTGAAAAACCAATCAACACTCGACAAAGCGGGAGCCACCCCGCTGGAACTTATAGCCAAGTGTATTGTATCGGGTAAATCGTAGAATGAGTCTCGAGTCTGATGGTAACCAGATCGAGCTCAATTATCAGCTCCTTTCTAAGGCGTCCCTCAGAAAGCTCGCTGGGAAAGTTATAAGAAAGATGATATGTAGTTGGCCTGGTTCCTAATATAAAACCCGGGTCGGACCTTACTAGCCCGACTGGGAAGACACGCATACCCATCGCCTGAAGATGGCAAAGCTGCCAGGCGCCCTTGGGTCGTCTCCGTTGAACTACGAGGGAAACCAAGGTGAAATACCTAGGATTCACTACACAGCCCCCGAAGCTTGGTTTCCCCACTACCCCTCCGCTCGACTTGCGAAGGTTGTGGCGATATTACCCAGAGCGCATGACCAACGGCTGGCAAGCGTCTGACGCTTACAACCGGACTGGTTTCTTGAGGCGCTGACTGGGTGCTCGAGATCTCTGCTGACTGCGGACACGCGGAACTTGGCCCACGGTGGCTGTCATCATTGATCGAGTTCGACGACCTAGAGGAAGCTGAGGATCTTGGTCCTCGGCACCGATGTGCCCTTGGCTGTCCTCATCCAAAGTACGCTGAACTGTTTGCTGGACACTTCGAGGTTGTACCTCATCCGCGTCGTCGCTGTCACGCCGGACGGTTTCTCCATCGGGGTGACTTCGTTTCTTCCTGCCGCGAGGGCGGCCACGAGGCTTCTTGCCCTTCGCTGAATCAGGAGGTGTAGACGCCGTGCTGCCGTCCTCACGATCTATCTTCTTCCAGTGATCCGTGAGACGAGGGTCTTCAGCAGTGTCCACATATCTCTTCAATAAAATCTTGATGTCCTTATTCAAAACTTGCATTGGTTCGTAAGAGTCTTCGATCGACTGTAGGCTCTTCTAGCTTACTAAAATATCAAAGTCCTTCGTAGCATTATTCCACTTGTGGCCTTCAGCTCCTTAACTGCTAAGATGATTTCCTTGAGCAGCTACGTGTTCGAGTAGCTCATCCGTGACATTTAAGCTGTCGTCTGCGTACATCTTTAACCGTGAAGGGTGCACATCATGTTCTTCTCCTGTAATCAGGTGCTCTACACGAAAGGAGTGGGAATCGGCCCGAGTCACTCGATACGGTCCAACCCAATTCACTTGGAGTTGGTTTCCACCGTTCTCATCCGTTCGGGATCGCAAGACGTAATCTCCAACGTGAAAGTTTACGAGATTCTCTCCTCGTTCGCGCTTCTTGTTCAAAAGTCTTTGCTTCAGTCTTTTATCTTCAACCACCTCATGCATCTTCTGTAAGCTGCTTCTCAACCGATTTAGGTAGTCGTCTATCTGCTCGCTCTGTGGAATCTGCTGTAACTTGTTTTTCACTGGTAGATAAAATTCACAGAGGGGTGTAGGCCGTGGCAGTCCAGTGAACAGCTCAACTGGCGCTCGATTCCCAAGAGATGGGAGTGCTGTATGGTTCAAATTGGCTTGCACCACCGGAACCAAGTAGACCCAGTCTTTGTATCCAATTTTGTATGTTAAAATCATTGCTCTCACCACTTGTAGTACATCCCGGTTCACACGTTCAACTGATCCGTTAACCCACGGACTATACGCAAGTGTGAATGACTGCTTCGACCGGAGACGGCGACTCAGCTCGGCGACAATCTCGTTCTTGAAATGGGTTCCACAATCAGACACCCACTCAGGAGGAACACCGAATCGTGAGTGCCAATCCAGTAAAGCTTCAACCACAACACTACTTTCGGCTGAGTCTGCAACAACCAATTCGCAGTAATGTGTGGCGTGATCCTTCATAACCAAAAGATATTTGCTGCCTCCAAAGCTTTCACCCATGTAAAGAAAGTCAAAATGAAGAACACCATTACGTGTACGACACTCAATCACCTCGCTCCACGGACGTGGGATAATCTTTCCCCCTCCTGAATGCAGACAAAGCAGACACTTCTTAACGAAATTTGCGACCACATCTGAGAGGTGCTCGATAGCGAAAAGCCGTCCCAGGTGTGCAATCATGGCTTGTTGGCCGCGGTGCCCTTGAGCGCCACAGTGCGCAATGATGCACAGCCGCTGAAGTAACTCTTTTTCTTCATATGGGATCCACAGCTTGTCCTCTAGGGTCACGAGACCATCATCATTTCGATTAGCGTGAACAGGAGCCGAGTTCTTGGCTTGTATTTCCTTGAGTTCCACCAGTGTAGGCCACACAAAACGATCATCATCCAGAGGGCGCAAAGCAGACACAGTCTCAGTCCTTTGGCTTGGGCGAGCCCGAGCAACCTTCAGTCGTTTCACAGTTGGCGAATGGTTACCAGCCCAGCGGGAAATCATATCGGCCCATACATTATCAGATCCCGGTACATGCTCCACTACATACTGGTAGTTCATTAGCTTCATGGACCATCTTAAAAGTTTCCCTTTAATATGTTTCTTGATCGAAACGTCCGGTGCGAAGATGTGAATCAGGTTACGATGATCACAATACATCCGAAAGGGTTTTGGCCTTAGTAGCAAGTAATCCAGTTTATCACAGGCAACGATAATGGGGAATGCCTCTTTCTCGATGACAGTCCAGTTTAGCTGGCTACCGGCAAACGTTCCACTTGTGCAGTGAATGAGCCGATGTTGTTGCTCTGTAGCAGGCTTCTGAGGGTCGAAGTCCACAACTTGAGTCACAATAACGGCGTATCCAACGTTCGAGGCATCCGTGAAGAGACATGTGGTAGCGTTGTCATCAGGAAAATCGAGAGTAGCAGCTTTGGCGAGCGAATCCTTAATCCGGTCAAATGCCACTCGTTCATCACTGCTCAGCTCAATGTTAATGCCAGCAGCCGCCCTCTTGGTCCTCTTGGTTTTCGTGAGAGCCGCGTCAAGTTTTTGTTGTAAAGGGGCAATCTGCCTTGCAAAATCAATAATGCTTTGACGCATCCAATTGACCGCACAGACAAATTGCTGAAGCTCTCCGGCAGTACGTGGGTATGGCAAAGCACGTAGCGAGTCAATTCGGTTTGGGTCATGTCTGATGCCTTCACCACTTATGATCCTGCCGCACCACTTGATCTCAGTCTGGTACAAGCTCGTTTTCTTTGCACTCAGCTTTAAGCCAAAGTGGTCCATTAGTGACAGCATTTCTTCCAACTTGACCAAATATACATCAATATCCTTGGCATAAAGGAGTAAGTCGTCGATCCAAATCAGTAAATGGTCGTATAGTAGACTGGCAAAGCAATTCTCCATGGTCTTCTGAAAGAATATCGCAGCATCACTACTACCCTGAGGCACTCTGCGAGGGGTAAAAACCTTCTCATCGGTCATGTATGAAAGCAATTCTTGACACATTAGAGCCAACGGAAGCTGCCAAAAGCCCTTCAAAAAATCAAAGAGTCCGAAATGTTTCATTCCCTTCGCGTTCTCCATCACCACGGATAAAATCGGCATAACTGCTGCCATGACTTCAGTCAATGCGTTCAACTCACGATAGTCTGTGGTTTGCCGAAGATCCATAAGGTCCGCTGACTTCTTGACAGGAAGAACGGGACTCGCCCATCGACTTTCCGAATTCTCGTAAACGAGTCCTAGTTTTACCAAACGAGAGTTGAAATCGTGAAGAAATTTGCGAATGTGAGGGGGATACCGTCGAGGCTTACACCTTGTTGGACGAGCCCCTTCCCGTAGTCGTATCTCCAGAGGTGGCACACGTGCTGGTGGGTCATCCTGCAGA